TGACCCAACCCAGTCTGTGTATGGAGTGGGAAAAAACATCAAACATCAGTATGATGAAGGTCAAGGTCAGCATTAGAAATGTACTTGCTCACCAGAGTAACTCACTGATCATGGAGACTGTATGTAAGATGTGCATAATCATTACATTGTCAGCATATAATTGTCACCAACCTCATTCATATGAAGCAGTCACAGGGACATGCATACTCTTTTGAGGTACACATTTACTGTCCTGTTAAACAATCTAGTACAATCTGGAAACTGTGCCAAGTACATGGTAGGGTGTGAATTTTAATCAAAAGAGCACTTAAAAAATAGGAGATTCCTTGTAGATGTTTTTGAAACAGCCTCATTGATTACTAAATGTTATTTAAGATTATGTTTATGTGTTTAAATGATGTGAGAGAAGGATTAGTAGCTGATAGAACCTTGATTTCATGTGTACTTGGATTTGATATGGAGCTTTTGTTTATCAAAACTCTTGTTGCTTCATAATTGTAATTGCTGTGATTTTTCTTTTTTTTTTTTTAATATATTTTGTGAGCATATCAATTCACCATTGTTCTCCTTCATTAAATTGTGTAATGTAGTAAGATTTGAGTGTGCTGAAATGAAAATGATTATACAATGTATTTTGTGTTTTTTAAGAATAAAGAAACATAATAAAAAGATGAAGAAATTTGAGTTGTATCATGTTGTTGGTGAAATTGGAATACAATACCAGCCTCTATTTCAAAGCCATTTTAGAAAGTTGTAAAACTGTATCAACCCCACTACACTCCTTCTTCCTCTATCCTTAGTTACCAGTAACCAACCCCACTACACTCCTTCTTCCTCTATCCTTAGTTACCAGTAACCAACCCCACTACACTTCTTCTTCCTCTATCCTTAGTTACCAGTAACCAACCCCACTACACTTCTTCTTCCTCTAGCCTTAGTTACCAGTAACCAACCCCACTACACACCTTCTTCCTCTTTAGTTACTAATAATCAATCCCACAACACTCCTTCCCCTATTCTCAGTTAAGTAATCAACCCCACAACATTCCTTCCTCTCGCCTTAGTTACCAGTGATCAACCCCACAAAATTCCTTCCTCTATCCTTAGTTACCAGTAACCAACCTCACAACATTCCTTCCTCTATCCTTAGCTACCAGTTATCAATCCCACACACTCCTTCCTCTATTCTCAGTTATGTAATCAACCCCACAACATTCCTTCCTCTCGCCTTAGTTACCAGTAACCAACCTCACAACATTCCTTCCTCTATCCTTCGTTACCAGTGATCAACACCACAACATTCCTTCCTTTATCCTTACTTACCAGTAACCAACCTCACAACATTCCTTCCTCTATCCTTAGTTACCAGTGATCAACACCACAACATTCCTTCCTCTAACTTATTTCTCAGTTATGTAATCAACCCCACAACATTCCTTCCTCTATCCTTAGTTACCAGTAACCAACCTCACAACATTCCTTCCTCTCCTTAGTTACCAGTAACCAACACCACAACATTCCTTCCTCTATCCCTTACCAGTAATCAACCCCAGCTATCAACACCACAACATTCCTTCCTTTATCCTTACTTACCAGTAATTAACCCCACAACATTCCTTCCTTTATCCTTACTTACCAGTAATCAACCCCACAACATTCCTTCCTCTATCCTTAGTTACCAGTGATCAACACCACAACATTCCTTCCTTTATCCTTACTTACCAGTAATTAACCCCACAACAACCAGTGATCAACACCACAACATTCCTTCCTTTATCCTTACTTACCAGTAATTAACCCCACAACATTCCTTCCTCTATCCTTCGTTACCAGTGATCAACCCACAACATTCCTTCCTCTAGCCTTAGTTACTATAGTCAACCCCACAACATTCCTTCCTCTAGCCTTAGTTACTATATAGTCAACTCCACAACATTCTTTCCTCTATCCAAATCACCAGAAGCTACCAAAATTTATGAATGATAATTAACAAACATGCTTTATTTCACAAATGTTTAATTCAGCTGCTGATACTTCAATATTGATATTGATTATAAATGACTTAATTGATTTTTTTAAAAGATGAAAATTTGGAAAATAAAAGTTTCTACAAATACAACCGCAAAAAGAAATCCCTCACAAATATTGCCTGACATACAGTTTTTTAAAGAGTCGACAGATATTGTAAACATACTTAATATAGTACAAATAAATTATAGTGCATTATCACTTTTTGGCAAATTAGTGCCCAAAATAATTACTTTTTAAACACAATATAGAAACTGCAATTAACATAGTCATATTTCAGTGTAATTATATATACTTTCAGTGCAAAGAGAGCTTAAATAAGATTATCACAAAATATGTATGTTTAGAGTAACTGATTTACAAATTTTAAGTTAAATATGAAAATTTCAAACAGAATGCAGTTAATAAAAATCTTAAACATAAAATATATGAATGTTTACTGTAGTTTGAGTTTTAAATTGTGACACATTGACATGAATGAATGATCTGTTCTTTCAAATTCAATTCAAATTTAAAAAATTGCTTCTGTTAAAGAAACATTGTATACAATGTGATTTTTTAAAATAAAATTTGAAAGTTGCAGGAGACAAAAGTAGTATGCACTTACAATGTATACCAGTATAAATAATCACAATGGCTTCACACCTGTTTAAATTGGAAACAAACCACACCAATCAGAATGGTTCCTACAGTACTAGTGTTTATATTTCTGTTATAGGTATTTTTCTTTACAACTGATATTTAAACATGTAGTAGGGAGATAAATCCACAACTAGTAAACACAGAGTAGGGAGATAAATCCACAACTAGTAAACACAGAGTAGGGAGATAAATCCACAACTAGTAAACACAGAGTAGGGAGATAAATCCACAACTGGTAAACACAGAGTAGGGAGATAAATCCACAACTGGTAAACACAGAGTAGGGAGATAAATCCACAACTAGTAAACACAGAGTAGGGAGATAAATCCACAACTGGTAAACACAGAGTAGGGAGATAAATCCACAACTGGTAAACACAGAGTAGGGAGATAAATCCACAACTGGTAAACACAGAGTAGGGAGATAAATACACAACTGGTAAACACAGAGTAGGGAGATCAATCCACAACTAGTAAACACAGAGTAGGGAGATAAATCCACAACTGGTAAACACAGAGTAGGGAGATAAATCCACAACTGGTAAACACAGAGTAGGGAAATAAATCCACAACTAGTAAACACAGAGTAGGGAGATAAATCCACAACTGGTAAACACAGAGTAGGGAGATAAATCCACAACTGGTAAACACAGAGTAGGGAGATAAATCCACAACTGGTAAACACAGAGTAGGGAGATAAATACACAACTGGTAAACACAGAGTAGGGAGATCAATCCACAACTAGTAAACACAGAGTAGGGAGATAAATCCACAACTGGTAAACACAGAGTAGGGAGATAAATCCACAACTGGTAAACACAGAGTAGGGAGATAAATCCACAACTAGTAAACACAGAGTAGGGAGATAAATCCACAACTGGTAAACACAGAGTAGGGAGATAAATACACAACTGGTAAACACAGAGTAGGGAGATAAATCCACAACTGGTAAACACAGAGTAGGGAAATAAATCCACAACTGGTAAACACAGAGTAGGGAGATTTCTCTATAACTGGTAAATATACTGCAGGGATATATCTATGGTAAACACAGAGTAGGGAGATTTCTTCAGAACTGGTAAATATACTGCAGGGATATTTATCTATAACTGGTAAACACAGGGTAGGGAGATTTCTCCAGAACTGGTAAATATACTGCAGGAATATTTATCTATAACTAGCAAACACAGAGTAGGGAGATAAATCCACAACTGGTAAACACAGAGTAGGGAGATAAATCCACAACTGGTAAACACAGAGTAGGGAGATAAATCCACAACTGGTAAATATACTGCAGAGATATTTATCTATAACTGGTAAACACAGAGTAGGGAGATTTTTCTATAACTGGTAAATATACTGCAGGGATATTTATCTATAACTGGTAAACACAGGGTAGGGAGATTTCTCCAGAACTGGTAAATATACTGCAGGAATATTTATCTATAACTAGCAAACACAGAGTATGGAGATTTCTCTATAACTGGTAAACACAGAGTAGGGAGATTTCTCCAGAACTGGTAAATATACTGCAGGGATATTTATCTATAACTGGTAAACACAGAGTAGGGAGATTTCTCTATAACTGGTAAATATACTGCAGGGATATTTATCTATAACTGGTAAACACAGAGTAGGGAGATTTCTCCAGAACTGGTAAATATACTGCAGGGATATTTATCTATAACTGGTTAACATGCAGCACAGAGATTTAGCTTTAACTGGTAATAATGCAGTATGAAGATTTTTTGTATAATGGTACAATCGCACAATGGACAGATTTTTCTGTAACTGGTAAATACACTGTAAGAAGATTTCACTTTAAGTTATAAATATGCAGCAGATAGATTTCTCTGTAACTGGTGAACATGATGGAGAGAGATTTTGACGACTTTTTTAGAGATGTTCAGTGAAACATTCATATTGTTTCATAAAAACCATTTAATGAAGGTTTTACACTGTGTGATATATATACACAAATACAGTCATGTATGTATTGATAAATGTTGACATTGTACATAGATAAATAAAAACTTAAACATACATCACATGTTTCTAGTTCTGTATACTGTCAACTCATTAAAAACTTCAGAAAATATTGTTATCTGTAGTAAAATGATACATTTTTGTGTAGCTCAAATTTATTGGATTTTGAAAAACAAACATTTTCTTTGGCATGTGATAAATCTTGCTTGCAAAATCCACTAGCACATGTCAACTTTTATCTGTTCATAATTTTGTGGACTTTGAATATATCCACAAATTAACTGAAAAAAAACTCACCCCACCCCCCCCCCCCCCCCCCCCCCCCCCACCCTCCACAAAAAAAAAAAAAACAGATTTTACAGCATATCTTCACATGAAACAAACTCAAAGATTACTAATTGAAGGTCAACTTCAGCAAAGCTCCTAATATACAGGACAACATCACATGTAAAGTGCAGTTATCTAATGTCACCACCATTTATCACAGAACTAAACTGTTTGATCGGACCGTGTTTGCTATATTTTGTAAACAGCATTTCATCTGGCATGGTTAAAAACTGATCAACAATTTACACAGATCTGATTGGGTAAATGTTGTTACACAGGCTTGTCACATAAGGATGAGGTGTTGTAAATAACAGCATATTAGATCATCAATGACAGAGGTTTTTACTCTTTATTCACTTTTGTCAATTACGCTATTATTTCTAAATATATGATAAGCCCTGGGGTCTAACACAACTTTTTACTCAAAATCTGGGGATGGGCATATTACAGGACCCCAGGAGGTCAACACATCACTTTTCACTGATATTCAGAAGATGGACTTATCACAGGACAATAAGATTGATTTATGGTTCTACTGAAAGCAATATATATAGATGGGCTTATCACCAGACATGGGCTTACTGCCACAGACATACGGTTATTGCTATTTTTTATGCTTATTAATCTCATTGACATGAATTCATACTTCAGCCAGTTTTCTTTGTTTTGTTTAAATTTTGACTTTCATATAAATTCAATGAATTATATCAAATAATTTCAAATGAAAATTTGAACTATGGCTTCTTGAAACTTTCAGGTCAAGGTCATATATTTAAACAAACATAAGAGCAATCTTTATGACATAAATCTCTTGAAAGTGACCAGATTAAAAATCATTTGTAGAACTCTGATTGATTGTCCTAAAGCTGTTATACATAACTTTATGTTTATCTGACCCTTTACCAATTCTAACAATAAAACCATGTCAACCATGTTCCATACTCAAATATGACATCAGGTGAATATATCATAAAACATTTTTCTACAAATCAACATGACATCAGTCAAAAATCATACACAAAATGTATCTTTGAATATTTTGGATTCTTGGTAAAACATGTGTCATCTAAGACATATTAGACCCACAAAAAAGACAATGCCATAAACACAGTATACAATTATTAATCATCAGTAACAGCAATCAGGTCTTATCTATATAAACAGACCATTTGCTTAGTTTAGTTGCTTGGCTCATGCTTAACATTCCATTTGATGATGGATAATGTTAATTCATACAATTAATATAACAGATCAGGATGGGCGGACATCATACTAAAGGCTTATAATCTATAACAAAGTCCTCAGAAATCTTAGTGAATCACGTCTCTGGTTGTATTCTCTGAAGAGTATGAAGTTTTGAACTTCTGTGGTAATATCGCACCATGATATAACTGATCATGAAGATGACATCTTGAGCTGCACTGTACCATGACTGGGTTGACGATGATGAAGAAGAAATTGAGACATGTAATAAATCACATTCAGGACTCTCTTTTCACATGTTCCCTGCAAATGGGACAGTCTCCTTTTCTCTGTAAGTAGTAAATGAAACAAATATTGCTAACAGTAACAGATAGATTGGGGCTCATTTATATGAAGACTTCCTTAAAATAGCATGTGAATGAAGATTTTATGTTTAGATGGATACAAAAAGTTTAACGTCTACACAACAGACATGTTGATACAAATGGACACATGCATGTTTAAATCATTAGTCAGTATATGAATGTTTTGAAATGGATTTTGATACACCAAGACACAGATGTGTTCATTTATATTTCTTTTAATTTCAAGAATTCAGAAATGAGAGAGAAAAGCCACTTCCTTGCTTGTTCTTGGTAGAGTTTCAGGTTTGTTGTTAAGGTGTAAATACCTTTAAGTATGCAGGTAGATTGCATGTGATATGACTTAGATATATGAACAAGGAGGCACAATTACAACATAACCTGACATACTCTGTTAATTACTGTATTTGCCCTAATAAAGTCCACCGTGGGGCAAAACCAGATGGCATATATAAATACAGCTTAAACGTAACAAAGCACAATGATCAGAAGATGTCAGGCTGTGTTATGATGGCACCATCATCTAATACCCAGTACTGTATGTGTTGTACATATTGAGAAAAGGTTTATTTTCTGATGATACTCTTCTTATATCTAAATGCAGTATACATGTATGTACTGATATTCAGGTATGCAGTAATTAGTATTGATACAAGATCTATTTAATTTTGACACTCTCCCCTAAATCACTACAAGGCAGACATATTGACATACAGACCTTTAACCAGTTATCTATACAGGATTGGTGATACATGTGCAGACATGGTAAAGTTTTGACAGCCTCTCCTTCACTGAATGTGGACAGACATATGCGACACTCATGATCAGTTTTCTGAGACGTAGCTCCATGCATGTCTTTCTTGAATGCATGAGAGGGGAGATCATCGATCACTTCCTGTGTCACTCCATTACCTTTGACATCACCAATTTGTTCTGCTAGCTCCCAGAGTGCCTGCATTAATAGGGACAAATTATAGCAAATTAGGTATACAGAATGCCATTATATGAGCTAACATTTTAATGAGTAATCTGCTTGGTGCTATAACAGTTTAAACAAAAAAAACTATCTAAAATAAAAAAAAATGTGACCAGAATGTTTTCTGTCCCAACAAAAAAATGTCATCATATAAAAATATTTTCTAAATGATTTTACATACAATTTTTATAACTGTCTAGCTGTGTTCAATTCAATTAGAGTTTGGCATGAGTTCATATCATAAACTGATCAGGCAGGGGTTTATATCATAAACTGATCAGGCAGGGGTTAATATCATAAACTAATCAGGCGGAGGTTTATATCATAAACTAATCAGGCGGAGGTTTATATCATAAACTGATCAGGCAGGGGTTTATATCATAAACTGATCAGGCAGGGGTTTATATCATCAACTGATCAGGCAGGGGTTTATATCATAAACTAATCAGACAGGGGTTTATATCATAAACTAATCAGGCAGGGGTTTATATCATAAACTGATCAGGCAGGGGTTTATATCATAAACTGATCAGGCAGGGGTTTATATCATAAACTGATCAGGCAGGGGTTTATATCATAAACTGATCAGGCAGGGGTTTATATCATAAACTAATCAGACAGGGGTTTATATCATAAACTGATCAGGCAGGGGTTTATATCATCAACTGATCAGGCAGGGGTTTATATCATAAACTGATCAGGCAGGGGTTTATATCATAAACTGATCAGGCCGAGGTTTATATCATAAACTAATCAGACAGGGGTTTATATCATAAACTGATCAGGCAGGGGTTTATATCATAAACTAATCAGGCAGGGGTTTATATCATAAACTGATCAGGCAGGGGTTTATATCATAAACTGATCAGGCAGGGGTTAATATCATAAACTAATCAGACAGGGGTTTATATCATAAACTAATCAGACAGGGGTTTATATCATAAACTGATCAGGCCGAGGTTTATATCATAAACTGATCAGGCAGGGGTTTATATCATAAACTAATCAGACAGGGGTTTATATCATAAACTGATCAGGCAGGGGTTTATATCATAAACTGATCAGGCAGGGGTTTATATCATAAACTAATCAGACAGGGGTTTATATCATAAACTAATCAGGCAGGGGTTTATATCATAAACTAATCAGGCCGAGGTTTATATCATAAACTGATCAGACAGGGGTTTATATCATAAACTGATCAGGCCGAGGTTTATATCATAAACTGATCAGGCCGAGGTTTATATCATAAACTGATCAGGCCGAGGTTCATATCATAAACTGATCAGGCCGAGGTTTATATCATAAACTGATCAGGCCGAGGTTTATATCATAAACTGATCAGACAGGGGTTTATATCATAAACTGATCAGACAGGGGTTTATATCATAAACTGATCAGGCCGAGGTTTATATCATAAACTGATCAGGCCGAGGTTTATATCATAAACTGATCAGGAAGGGGTTTATATCATAAACTAATCAGGCCGAGGTTTATATCATAAACTGATCAGGCCGAGGTTTATATCATAAACTGATCAGGCAGGGGTTTATATCATAAACTAATCAGGCCGAGGTTTATATCATAAACTGATCAGGCCGAGGTTTATATCATAAACTGATCAGGCAGGGGTTTAAATCATAAACTGATCAGGCAGGGGTTTATATCATAAACTGATCAGGCAGGGGTTTAAATCATAAACTGATCAGGCAGGGGTTTATATCATAAACTGATCAGGCCGAGGTTTATATCATAAACTAATCAGGCAGGGGTTTATATCATAAACTAATCAGGCAGGGGTTTATATCATAAACTAATCAGGCAGGGGTTTATATCATAAACTAATCAGGCAGGGGTTTATATCATAAACTGATCAGGCAGGGGTTTATATCATAAACTAATCAGGCAGGGGTTTATATCATAAACTGATCAGGCCGAGGTTTATATCATAAACTGATCAGGCAGGGGTTTAAATCATAAACTGATCAGGCAGGGGTTTATATCACAAACTGATCAGGCAGGGGTTTATATCATAAACTAATCAGGCCGAGGTTTATATCATAAACTAATCAGGCAGGGGTTTATATCATAAACTAATCAGGCAGGGGTTTATATCATAAACTAATCAGGCAGGGGTTTATATCATAAACTAATCAGGCAGGGGTTTATATCATAAACTAATCAGGCAGGGGTTTATATCATAAACTAATCAGGCAGGGGTTTATATATATCATAAACTAATCAGGCAGGGGTTTATATCATAAACTAATCAGGCAGGGGTTTATATCATAAACTGATCAGGCAGGGGTTTAAATCATAAACTAATCAGGCAGGGGTTTATATCATAAACTGATCAGGCAGGGGTTTAAATCATAAACTAATCAGGCAGGGGTTTATATCACAAACTAATCAGACAGGGGTTTATATCATAAACTGATCAGGCAGGGGTTTATATCATAAACTAATCAGGCAGGGGTTTATATCACAAACTAATCAGACAGGGGTTTATATCATAAACTAATCAGGCAGGGGTTTATATCATAAACTAATCAGGCCGAGATTTATATCACAAACTAATCAGACAGGGGTTTATATCATAAACTGATCAGGCCGAGGTTTATATCATAAACTGATCAGGCAGGGGTTTATATCATAAACTAATCAGGCCGAGGTTTATATCATAAACTAATCAGACAGGGGTTCATATCATAAACTAATCAGACAGGGGTTTATATCATAAACTGATCAGACAGGGGTTTATACATAAACTAATCAGACAGGGGTTTATATCATAAACTAATCAGGCCGAGGTTTATATCATAAACTGATCAGGCCGAGGTTTATATCACAAACTAATCAGACAGGGGTTTATATCATAAACTGATCAGGTAGGGGTTAATATCATAAACTAATCAGACAATTTTTTTTTAGTTAAATTATAGTGGATACATTTATTTATGAATATCAGTGGACAAAAATCGTTTGTAAATTACTTCTTCAGTATACAATGTAATACAATAAAATTCAAACATTCAGTACTTGTAGGTTTTTTTTTTCATTTTGAACATCTTTTCCTTGATGTATGTTATTACAGTTATCAAAAAGCTTTGTGTGATACTGAAATTCAAATTTTGAAAAAGAACATCAATAAAAAAAAAAGCAGTCTACCTCATAGTCATTTAAATCTACGTCTTCTGGCGGCAGCATATTCCTTGGAAATATATTGTTTCTCATCATAACACCAAACTGCAAAATACAGACATATGTAAAATGAGACAAAACCATTTCATCCTAAAAATAGAAAAAAACGTAAAAGCTCTCTATCAACTGCATCATTAGACCTGATTTTGATACCTGTGTATGTAACATTTCATTATCCCAAGACTTACTCATAAACAAAATATGACAATTCTTGATATATCTAAGTTGCGGCAATCAAATTTCAGTACATTATCCATTTTTGGGAAATTGGTGCAATGATTCTTAGCACATCCACATTAATAAACAAAATAATGAAACTGAAATTAGCATGAGTTCAATACGAAATACAGTGGAATAAGATTACAGCTAGAATATATATGTTGACACTAATAGCTAGACGAGGGAGTGTATGAAATATACAAATATTGCTCTCTTTACATGATGAACATGTAAAGAAGTGTTTATACATGTATATAAAAACCTCTCACACTATCAATTAATCTATTATACACAAAGAAATACCTTAGTATGAGAGTTATTAATTAATGCATAATATTTCAATTGATCCAAGATGTCAGTTTAGAACACAGAAATAAAACTAGTTGTAATAGTGTTGTGTTTTTTCTGAAAGAAAGGAAATAGAGACAGACAGGTCATTACAAAGACAGACAAAAACAAGTAGTGGACACAAACACATAAGCAAGTAATGTTAGATAAACATACAGACAGACATCACAGAGACATCTAAACAAAAAGTGACACAGGGACAAGTGTTGACAGATAAGAGACAGACATGCCTTCCAATAAAAAAGTATAAAATTAAATGGCTTTATTGAAATCATTTGCTCTAAACCTGCTAACAGAGTTCAAAAGACCATTAACAGATATGAGTGGGTATAGAGAGAAATGACAGAGCTCTATTCAATTTTAGTCTAAATAAGTAACAGTTTTTTCCATTTTCCCTTCTCTCTGTTGTAACTTTCAAGAGATATATCACCGTTAGCTGTTGCTATGTATTTTGACATTGCGGCGGACTTTTAATAAACTGATTGGAGCACTTATGTTGAAAGTGGTGTAAAGACATCTAGTTTTGTAAATGTAGTGTTTAATAATGATGTTAATTTCATTATCAATTTTACTGACCTCATTTCTAATTGATCAGAAACTGAAAATTACTGATTCTTTATTTGAAGTGAAAGGTATCAGAAGTGCTTCTAAGAGGATTTCCAAGCTCTGTAGTAAATTTTGAAATTTTAGACATTCCCAAAATATATGAGGTATGGTGTCCGCCTCAGATTTACAAAAAGTAAAACGTAAGAAAGATTTTATGAAAATATTTTGTTCCCTGAATTTTTTTTGGAAAAAAGGTTCAATGCTTAAAGGAATGAGGGGAGTAGGTGTATCCTGAATCTTTGGTGTATAAATAGATAATTGAACTGAGTTGACCACACCTTGAAAATGAAGAAAATTTGTAGATGTACTTTATTTCTGTGTAAATTCAAGGTAAAAATAGAAAATATTTTCCGACATATCATTTTTCACACTAACACTCTTAGCATACCAGTTTGTCAAAAACAGAGTTTCCACCAACAGATATGTCGGTTATGCCATAAGGGTGTTTTCAAAATAGAGAGTTGTCTGCTCTTTAGTAAATCAGAATTCAATAATCTTTCCATAGGTTTAAAAAACATAACACCAAAACACATTTTTGTGCTGTTAAAAAATTTCTTTAACCATCATAGTTTTAGAGCATCTATAAGACTTAATATTGACTATTTTCAGACCACCATTCAATATAACTTTTATTAAAAACATTCTTTATATAAAATAGCATTTAATTTATTAAAAAAAAAAAAGCATCAATTTGAACAGATATGGGTTCTGTCACAGTTAAATCTACAGGTTGTTGGGTGGTGCAATGCCACTGGCCTTTCACATTACATGCATACATGCTGCTGAACAAAAAATATCAATTTGTGCATTTATTTTTTAAAAAAAATAAGATTTCTTTAATTTCCATTCGATTGTTAAAAACTAGAAAATGTCTTGCTCCCTGCATGCATTCATTGTTTGATGAGTTTGCAAAAGTTATCATATGTGACCTTTGACTCTTTAACCTTGACAGATGACCAAGTTAATATGATAAAGTGTAGAAGTTATGTTATGATAATGCAGTGTAAATACAAACCAAATCTTTTGTGAGCTTCTTGAGATATGACGTTGATTAGGAATGAGGACGCGATATGATAGTAAGCCATGTGAAGAGTAACTGAAACAAACTTACTGTTGACCGTTGTAGATCAGGTCTTGGTAGATGATGGTGATGATGGCCTGAAAAATTACAGCATGTGACTTCAAACAAAGGTTGAAACATTAACAAAATGTTGCGTTAAATATGACATACTGACTGATATTCAATATTCATTTACATTACAGCTAGTTGTGCTGTACTTGGTTTATTTATTACCATAACAACCATATCATATATTGTTATCAGGAAATAAAGCTCATAGCATTTGACGCTTTATGAGAACAAAACAGCTATTTTCAAAATGCCATTTTGAAGTGGTAACAGGGCATAGAGAGGTCTATGATAAAAAGGGCATAGGATGGTTTATGATAAACAAGGCATAGAGTGGTCTTTGATAAAAAGGGCATAGGATGGTTTATGATAAACAGGGCATAGAGTGGTCTTTGATAAAAAGGGCATAGGATGGTTTATGATAAACAGGGCATAGAGTGGTCTTTGATAAACAGGGCATAGGATGGTGTATGATAACAAAGTACTGAGACGAGATCTGTCAAAACACTTTGTCAGAAGTTCAATGTGTTATTTATGTCTAAAATGTTTACAACTTCAGGTTAAGAGGTGCTTTAAGTAGGGTTTTGATTTCCAGCACTAATTTTTTACTGTATCAGAGCTTTTCAAGCTTTTCAAATTTGAGTTTCTGAAGTCTTTATTACTAAGATCAAGAGACAATTTTGCTGGGAGCAAAAAACTGAGTTTTCTGATTTCAAATTTCAAATTTGATTGTAATGAGAAACTTGTAACTAATTTCCACCTTTTTCTTTGTGTTCTGAAGATGATTTTGCATCTTTCTGTGAAATTATGTTTTTAAATTTTCACGGTTTTTGAAATTTTACAAAATAAATTATTTTACTTTAAGTTTATATATTTTTTATAACAACTTCATTCAAGATTGATATGGAGATGATAGCATGCATACTGAATGTTAAATTAATACCTACCACGAATGTTTAATGGTATATCAGATTCAGATGGACTGAAGGTAGGGTCAAACAGCTGATGTCTTCCCTGAAAACAAATTATAAACAAGAGTATTGGTGAAACTGATAAATGCTCCCCAAAAGTGATTTTATTGAACACAAAGTTTTACCAAAAGGGCATAAAGTTTCATGACACTAGATTTAACACAAAGCCATGCTCATGGCACAAAATTTGAACAAAGGGCAATAACTCTGTATTCAGGGTTCATGGGTCTTGATTTTGCTACAGTGCACATCGTCTTAGCATGATCAATGTGCATATCAAGTATTGTTATCCTAGTGTATATGCAAACAAAGATATTCTCTGGACACGAACATTTAAGAAAGGGCAGTACCACTATAACTGAGAGGTCAAGGGCCCTAAATTTTGTACACTGCACCACCCTTTAACTGTGGCCAATGTTATGCTCCAGACATGAAAGGATGCATGGAAAGACAGATGGACGGACAAGGCATGCCCCCTTCCCTCCCCCCACCCATCAAACATTTTTGAGGAGCATAAAAAAAAAAAAGAAATATATTGCATATTATTGTCAGTTAGGATTTCTGACTATCATGTTAAAAAAAGAGTAGTGATTAAGGGATTTCCATGCTTCATAACATTTCATGCATAACTGACTCACTGATACTCATGGATAACTGTCTCACTATTACTCATGGATAACTGACTCACTGTTACTCATGGATAACGGACTCATTGTTACACATGGATAACTGACTCACTGTTACTCATGCATAATTGACTCATTGTTACACATGGATAGCTGACTCACTGTTACTCATGGATAACTGTCTCATTATTACTCATGCATAACTGACTCACTGTTACTCATGGATAACTGACTCACTGTTACTCATGGATAACTGACTCACTGTTACTCATGGATAACTGACTCACACAAGTTTTTTCTTTTTTAAAGTTAATCCTGGTAGGCTTTCTAACAAATGCTTGTATAAAAGTCATGTGTGCAGGTATTATACAGAACATCATTGCATTATACACAACTATGTCATCTTTTAAGTAATGTTAGGAGCCAAAAGTAAAGAAATGTATAAAGGAAGTCCCATAAATGTATAAAAAAAACAAAAGAACAAAAAAAAGAGAATAGGATGGTAACTTAAAACTGCAAGTCATGAAACCTAGCAATTTAAAAGGAAAGACTGGAGTTGTATATTGCACAAGGAAATAAAACATTCCCAGTGAAATATAGATAGTGGAATCTGCATCTCCTATCCTTATCATCTTTATCCACCACAACCCTTAAAACTCTGCCATGTTAATTTGTCTGTCAACAATTGACATTTATCACAGATATCATAATATGAATGCACACTTGTTCAGATATACCTACAAACATCCTGCAAAATCATACTCTTTATCGTCTTCTTGAAAAACAAAATGAAGGGGATTTATCAATATGATTAATACTTAACATACATCACCTGATATATACATATTGAACTTACATGTACAGGATTTAACAGGAAATGTCTTGGGGGTCGGTTTCTCTGAGGTGGTTCCCTGCGGGGTAATGTAGGGGGTCGTGTGACCCTACTCAGTGAGTGATGGTTTTCCTCTTCTTCAAAAAGTTTCTGTGCCAAAACGGCATCCTCCTGTTCCTGAGAAAGTTTTAGCTGTTCATCCAGTTGAAATGCAAATCTCTCATCATCCTGTACACTATACATATTCACATGGGGTACACTCTGAGCAGAAGCTTGCTCAAATTCAATCTCAACTCGTCCGCAATCGGGACTCAAAACATCTAATACTGGGTGATCATAGCCTATTGTGTCCGAAGACTGTGACACAGGTTCTGGTGAAAGCTGGTCGAGGCGTAGAGATCCAGAGTCCAATTCATCCACTTCAGAAACTTCACTTTGTTGCAATTGCCATGCCAACTGTGCATCTGGATCAGTACTGTCCCCTTGCTGGAACTCTTCTAGTTGGAGTTTTCGGGCGATTTCTGCATCTGTAGCCATTGTCACTCATATGTGAATATTTCACAAAGATGGAACTCAAAACACACATCTCATGTTTCCTTTGAAGATTCCGACATTGACAAGATGGTAGGGGTCTACATGTATATGCTGGGAAAATCTTTGATACTGTCAAAAGAAAGTACATTATAAAAATAACTGTTTGTAAAGATGCTATTTTGCATACTTCTCCTTTTACAATATCAAAGTCTGTAAATCTCAATTTTTTGCTTCTATCAAGAAAGAACCATTTTCCATTAGATTTTGTCATATTTTCAGATTGCTGTACACTTCTTCAAATTAACTTGTATAACAATCATGCCATGTAAACTTTCAATACATACAATTCTTTTTCATTAACATTATTTCATGACTCAATTCCATTGAAACATGTGATAAATTGTCATTAATGCCATAAATAAAAAGAAGAAGCTATTTTTCCTGATCTTCGTTATGGAATAAAACTCAGAACCTCCAATTTGCTAGCCAAACACTTTACCCAGTGATCAAAAGAGAAATTCTCTTAAACTAAGTCTGCAGGAATTCTGCTGTCACTATGTGCCACTATTTCCTAAGCCAGACACACATATAAATGACAACTAGGTAACAGAGGCAATTATTTTTCCAATGGCTCAAGTTTGGATTGAACTCAAGAACTCTGACTTACTCTAATATTTCTCCCTTGAGGAGTTGGTAGACAATAATAGCTAGTACCTTACCAAGGTTACATATTTTCAATTAATTATGTTTACATCACTTAATATAGTTGATGACAACCTCTGTATACAATGAATTGGTCATACATGTAAAGTAGATACATAAATTTCAGATTTCTGATTCTGCATATATACAATTTGACAACAAATTGTGTTGTATGTTATATCACTGAAATGGATAGATAAGTTTTATTGCAATCAGTTTAGATTACATAATTATTATCTGTTAGCATTCTGATTACAATTTTCATTTAACTGATTAACTCATAACTGTTAGATTCACCTCATTCCTGATACACCAGGAATTACACTCACTGTCGCCCTATGCACCCCTTTTCAATCAATTTTTGAAATGTGACCAATCAGCACAACACTAAGATCTAAGCCTGGGGTATATATGTATATATAAAGAGAAAAGTACAGTAGGGAACTTTAGTTACTACCTGAATGAAACATTAAATATTTATTATTAGTAGTGTAGATATTGAGAGCACTGGTCATCTTACTTGTGTTGGCTTGTGGAAATTTTGCTATTGTCAAATAATGGAATGTCCTGCTGCTAGCTGAAGACCACAATATTGCTTTTCCTGCAGTAAGAGGGTGAATTTTATTACTTCTTCTAGTTTCCTATTACAGATTTTGTGTCACTGATCATTCCAATAGTAGAAGCTATAGGAAATTAAGATGGTTCCTTGTCACTGAAGAATTTGATCTCCTGAGACAAAGAAAGAGGAAGTAGTAAAAGGTACAGGTCTATCAGCATTCAAAGTCATGGCTGGTTAAAATTTCCTTCTGACCAAGCAGTATACGGTGTCTGGCTGACGACTAAAAGGTTGCTGGTTCAATCCCAGCAGATACAGAGTGATTTTCACTACTCGTCCTATTACATATGTAATATGATCATATATAAAGATACATCAAATATACCCACTGGAATTGACAATTACAGAACATGTCTGACAAGCTTTTTCGACTGGTACTTTGTTTCAAAATCCCTTTATCAGTGTTGGTTTAATGATCAGATATATATATAATTATAATCAATAATTCTGCTTGGTTTATGTTACAAAACCGATTTCAAGTAATAAATCAAGAAATTTCAAAATTGAGTCATTGTTTGAAACAGAATAACTTTATTTTCGATATATTTCTAATTAAAATCCATGTGATATAGTTCTTGCATATGATATTGTTATGACACAACTTTACTCTGAATTGGTTACCAGGTAAGTTAAACAGAAAGTTGAAGGTGTCTCTGTAAATTTTAACCTTTGATATGACAATAAAAATGGAATTATCAGGTTAAGCGATTGAAAATAGATGATAGATCAAAACATTTGATCAGATGATATCCGATCATATCTACAAAACGATTCCCTATACAATATCCGAAATTCCAAACAAATAATCCTCCAAAAATTATATCTGGATTTGCTTATGTTTGCCTAATATTCTGACCTTTGCATAATGTAAACATTCGACAATTCACAGACCGTGACGTTTAACCAACCCTGAAAACCATACAAACCTCTTTTTTGTTTATGTAGTAATGTTCAAAACCACGTCTACATTGAAGTGGAGCAGAAACGACAGAGAATGCCCATAACATATTCTAATTTCAAGAAGCCGTAACTACTTACATTACAAATTATTTTCTTCCGGTTTGCAATCCGTGTCACAACAGGGGAGGCCACTCTGGAATAAATCGAAAACGAAAGTAGAATTTAATACCAAAATTTGGACTTTACAGTATTCACTGTGCTTTAACGCATCTATCTAGATTCACAGCCTGTCGCAAATAGTGTAGCATGTCCATGAATAAATCAAAACAACAATGATATCAAAATTGAAACATGGCTAAATTGAAAATGGTTCGATCTAAAGATCTACCTCCGTGTTGTCATACACCTGTACAGTACCAAATATACACAAGAGAATGTTCTGGAGTTTAATGGGTACATATAACCTTTTACCACTATTTTCGCTATTTGAATCTATTTTGTGAATTTATCTCGTTTTTATACGGTTTTTATGGTATCCATACAAGCTGAAATATATAGATAAGATAGAGGGAGTACAGAGGAGAGCAACCAAGCAGATACCTGGTCTAAAAGGAATGACCTACCCAGATCGTTTAAAGACCCTAAAACTACCAACACTGGCCTACAGAAGAGTAAGGGGAGATATGATAGAGCTTTACAAGATCATACATGAGTACTATGACCCCAAAGCCACAAAATGTGTGAAATTATGGAAAGATCAGACACTACGTCAAGGGAGAAGAGGGAACTCACTTAAAATATACCCCCAGCAAAGCAATTCAGAAATGAGGAGGAACTACTTTACTCTCAGAAGTGCGCCAGTATGGAATAGCCTACCCGAACATATTGTGACAGCACCATCTATAAATGCATTCAAGAACAGACTGGACAAGTATTGGGAAGACCAAGAACTCCTTTATGACAACTATAGAGCCAATATAAACATCGGAGGTGGTGTGAGAGAAACACAGCCAGATCAAACAAATAAGGAGTCTGGTGTAGAGGACTTAAAATCCTGTACCAGAAATTATCGCTAAGTATCGCTAAGTAAGTATAAGGTACGGTATTTGGCTGTTTGTTTTAACCATGAATATTAAGTGACGTAAAACTATATCAGATAACATGTACAATGTACATACCTGTATTGTAATCGGCATAACAGATTATCACAGTATAGAAATTATTACACAAATTTAAATGTATCATACAGCGTATATCTCACGATAGCTGATCAACAGTTTATATACAATGGGTCCTTTAGACACTAAAGATCGTCATTTACTGTTGATTTTTTTATACAGATATCATATAATGGTGTTATGTCTTATATTAACTTGAACAATATAAAGATTGTGTTACATTTTGTATACACAATACTATAAAGATGGTGTTATGTTTTATATACACAATAATATAAAGATGGTGTTATGTTTTATATTCACTCGAATAATATAAAGATTGTGTTACATTCTGTATACACAATACTATAAAGACGTTGTTATGTTTTATATACACAATAATATAAAGACGTTGTTATGTTTTATATACACAATAATATAAAGATGGTGATATGTTTTATATACACAATAACATAAAGATGGTGTTATGTTTTACATACACAACAATATAAAGATGGTGTTATGTTTTACATACACAACAATATAAAGATGGTGTTATGTTCTATATACACAGCGATATAAAGATGGTGTTATGTTTTATATACACTGCAATATAAAGATGGTGTTATGTTTTATATACACAGCGATATAAAGATGGTGTTATGTTTCATATACACAGCGATATAAAGATGGTGTTATGTTTTATATACACAGCGATATAAAGATGGTGTTATGTTACAAGATATAAAGATGGTGTTATGTTTTATATACACTGCAATATAAAGATGGTGTTATGTTTTATATACACTGCAACATGAAGATGGTGTTATGTTTTATATACACTGCAACATGAAGATGGTGTTATGTTTTATATACACTGCAATATAAAGATGGTGTTATGTTTTATATACACTGCAATATAAAGATGGTGTTATGTTTCATATACACTGCAATATAAAGATGGTGTTATGTTTTACATACACAACAATATAAAGATGGTGTTATGTTTTATATACAGCGATATAAAGATGGTGTTATGTTTTACATACACAACAATATAGATGGTGTTATGTTTTATATACACAACAATATAAAGATGGTGTTATGTTTTATATACACAACAATATAAAGATGGTGTTATGTTTTACATACACAACAATATAAAGTTTTATATACACAACAATATAAAGATGGTGTTATGTTTTATATACACAACAATATAAAGATGGTGTAATGTTTTATATACACTGCGATATAAAGATGGTGTTATGTTTTATATACACAGCGATATAAAGATGGTGTAATGTTTTACATAGACAACAATATAAAGATGGTGTTGTGTTTTATATTCAGAATAAAAAGAGTGTTTTATAGTTTGTATAATCAGGAACAACACAAAGACGATAGTAGAAATACAAATGCCGTATGGCTGAGATTTTCTGTATTATTTTAACCATCATGCATTTTCTAACTGATCTTATCAGCTACCCGTTACAGAGATAGGACTAAAATGCGACATGAGTATACAACTTGTATGTTTGCTTTCTGCTTCATAAAATTGTGGGGGTTCATGTCTTACTTTCTGTTATATAATCCTATAATTCCCAGCTGTTTCCTATTTAGTTCTTTATTTCAATTCCAAGTAACAAGTTGTTTTTTGTTAAAACATCATCACCATTGATAACTCTTGTGCTTATAAGCTATTGTTTAAATGAAAAATATCAATTACATTTATGATAATAACTTCAATTGAAAAGCAATTGGTAAATGCCTAATCGATAAATGGGAGGTCAGTTACATGGGAATACCGAATACGTTCGTCCTACGTCTCTCAGCAAACGTTTAAAATGAGATTTTCTAGTGTTCCCGGTTGGTCAGTTTACCAAATTAAAGCTTTATCAATTTAAAAAAATGTCGGAAATGAAGCTTAATGTTGAATCTTAGTAAATTAAGCTATGCTATGGATTCAGTTTTATGAAAATGTTTCTCTTTTTCTCAAATAAACGTTTATAATATTTAGTTATTTCCGCGCAGCTATTATAGATTGTTTCCACTTTGCTTAATTTTAGACCCTCGTGTATGATATGTTTCAGGGGTGCAGAGAGCGATAGTGAGTGTAACCTATGGAGTATCGAGGACAGAGTGAGGATAGCTATGGATTGTAAGATACATTTCCGCTTGCAAATTTACAGTACAATCAATACCATATCTCGATTCTCGACCCAAAGAGATATCAAAGATAGGAGGTGCATGTGTCACATCACCGTGATGTATGTCACGCAAGGGATATTGTGGTAGTGGGGTCGGGTCCTGTTTCCTGCACTGATAATCTACTTCGTCTTAATTATGTTTGCTTCTTACAAAGTAAAAAAAAAAAAAAAAAAACCATAAATGAATAAATAATTAAAAATCAGTAGATTATTTTGCTGATATCAATTTACTTCTATCACATAATCCGCCTGTTAACCAGTGAATTCGACCGTCGAATCTTTTAGTATATACATGACTACAATATCATTAGGGTAATATACACGTACCCCTTGATGTTTACTGCGCTAGCAGGAATCGATTGTGATGTCACGATATGGGCAATGACGCATGCCTTTGTTCACTTTTGCCTTCCATAAGACATGAAACAAAAGATAAAAAGCAAAAAACAAAAACAAACCCCCCAAAAAATAAGACTCGTTTCATAAAACCATATTTGAAATAAAAACTCATTTATGATCCATTATTTGCTAACTGTAGAATGAATATTCACCATTTTAAATTTTGCTGATATGTTTCAGTTAAAAATTCACAATTGCACAACTTAACCTCTCGTCTATTTTATATCTTTGATAGAAATTAATGGACTACTCCAAAGGCAACGCCCTCCTACTTTATAAGATGTAAAAACAAGTTAAATCTCATTACTTTTATCACATCTTAATGAAGGATATAAATGTCCGATATAGAAATAGCCATAATGAATGAAATGTCACAGCAATCTGAAACACAACACCAGAAATACTGTAACAAGGTTCCGGTGATACTTTATTTAAACTGATAACGACTTGAATGCAAAGTGGAATCAAAATAGATACACGTCAAGAGAAATAAGATCTTGAATACATGTTAAAATTTCGAAATCATTAAAAAAATTATGAAAACCATAGCTTAAGTCACAACGTCATGGTATACGTGAAGGATAAACCGAAAGATAATCAATAATCAACATCTTACAAATATCAACGTATCTAGTGAATGCAATACCATTTTTTTTTCAAATTTATGATTTTATTTGTTTTTATTCTCGTTTTTTTTTTAAATTTACGTTAATCAGGCAGATTATATTTTACCTCTCTCTACTTTTACTTGTGTATTTTTTTTATTTCTAACAGTCATAGTTATTCGTGATTTGGTTTCTCTTTCTTGAAAATAATGTAGAGTATTATGTGTGCATGTCTCATAGGCCTTTTCCTGTCTGAAATTAGAGTAATCTCCCTTCAATTCAAAATGGCTGCCCATGGAAGTCAATGTGCCAAAACCTTCAGGAAAAAGTGGTGAGATTTTCTTGTTTAGTGATGGTTGCAAATATGACTGTTAGTGTTTCTATGCTATGATAACAGTTGTACTATTGTTTTGAAAATGCGTAGCGTGCGATAATTTTAATGATTAGACCAAACAACTCGACAATTTCTCGTTTCTAATGACGCCACTGGCATTGATTCAGATTTGACATTTCGTTACAAAACAGTGACAAATGTCAAAGCTGAAATTTCTGTAAATATTTTTAGCATTGTTTAGTTAGAATAACAGCAGAACAAGTCATTATTTTCCAAACAGACATTGCAAAATGTTTTCACGAGACATGAGGACATTGTTAGCTTTACACATTCACATTGGAATCCCTGAATCATATGGACGCGTATCGTAACAATATATTGTCAATACATTTATATAACATGTTGACTTTCTTTATACATTCTTATCTACACAATAACACTATACATCTTAAATCTATGCACACTTTGTGGTAAATCCATCATATACATACCAAATAGTAAATGACTTAAAGACCATTCTTCGTTTGTATACTGTCTTGACAATTGTTCAATGGCCTATACGATTATAGTTCTGATTGATGTCATCCATAGAATATAATGATTTTGTACATCTTGTCTAATGACTCCATATATTGATACAATCCCATTGATTATAGCATCCATAAAGAATAAAGTTAAAATCCTTGATTCAAACCACTTAACTAGACACATGATGTCATGATTTGAGGCAGCAGCTAACAGTTTTCTTGAGATCAAAGACCTCATTTTTTATGAAAAAGATTTGGAATTTGTATCATCCTGTGTCAGCTTAAGATTTGTGTTACATGTCACATACTTAATCAAATGAATCAGAAAAGGCAAAGCTGGAGATTTTTTTATCTATTTATTTAGATCTCACATCATGTTAAACAGATGAAAAAACAGACTAGTTCAGAAAATGGATAATGACGACCCTATTGTTCGCCCCAAGACTGGTCAAAGTGAGCGACCTTACAGCGTGTCAAAGGATGAGGCGTATGCACGTATGCTACAAAGAGAAGAAGAGTCATTAGTGACAACATCAGATGAAGACTTTGCAAGGCAACTTCAGGATGAGCTGAACATGGAAGAGCGAAGGAAATTTCGGGAATCATTATCTAATCGTCCAGCCATGCGAGCTATGACCCCAATAACACAACTGTTCAGCTCTCTAGTTGGCTCTAGATGGAACAATACTTCCATGGATGAGGTGAACATACCTTAATCATGGGCATTATATAAAAAAAATATCTGCTATTTGTCTCTTATGATTTTGGGAGGGTTGTCACAAAAGTGCAATAGTTTACTTTAGTGATAAGTGTTGATATAATGTCAGGATTGAACTTTAAGGAAATCTCATGGAACTCAAGCTAGAGTTTCACTAGTGGTTTGTCAGGTCTTATCACAAAAGTTTATGTCCAAGATAATTAGAAAATAGGTTTTTCATTGATATTTACGTCACCAAAATTTGTGGCAAGAAAAGTTTAAAAAGATGATGAAAGTATACCATGGTAGTAGTACTATTTAAACCCAAAGTAAGTTATATATACATTGATCTCAGGTAGCATCAAATCTGATTCTGGAAAAGAAGCTGTTTTAATATAATCACCATAATATATCATAAATGTGACTGTTTAATCTCTTGTTGTTTACCAGGATAGTGACAATGAAAACGATTCGGATGAGAATGACAATACCGATTCTGATTCCACTGTCTCAGGTGCTACAGCATCCACCACAAGTAGCACCACAACTGCGGCGGACAGTTCAGATCGACGGGATACCACACCAAGGTCAGGAACCACCACAAGGGGAAGGAGTCGTGGCACTACAAGATCCACAAGAGGTTTACATGGAATGCGTCCTATGGAGACAGCAGTGAGTACAAGGCCTGCGGCTGGATCAACAAGGGCAAGGGGAACAACCCGTGGGACAAGTAGGGGCCGGCGAGGTCAAGGGACAAGTAGAGGAGCAATGGCATCTGTTAGAGGCAGTCGGAATCCCCAAGGGACCAGTGCAGAAAGTGAATCAGGTGAAACGAGGATCACTGGGAACAGAAGGTCTATACCTAGGACTATGGAACCTACAGGTGAGTGGGCACATAGGTCAGAGAGTGGGAACATACAGGACAGTTAGTTGGGAACATGTAGATCAGTGAGTTGTGATTTGTATATTGCCTTATTCAACTTTTGATTTGTCGGACTGGCAATGAACATATGCTGAATGCAGCATCTCTTTTCTTTCTATCATGGGACAATTGTTATCTTTAAGCACCTTTTTCCCATTGTTTAACCAAAAATTCAAAAATCATAATATTCAACCAGTAGTATTAAGATATGAAAAGCTTTATAGGTTGCTCAAATGGATTAACTAGACTGACTTCCAAAAGTAACAAGTGTCAATTATCTTTGAATTTTTAAATAATTTCTGATGATAAGCAGAAGACCAAGAATCAAGATGTTTGTCCAGTGGTATACTGGAAAAGGTAAATTAGTATACACTTCCATTGGTTACATGGGAATACACTTCCATTAGGTCCTCTTCAGCACAAAAGTGCTATACTTTAATTTACCTTCACTAACACATGTATATCATACAGATAACACCATCATCAAATTCATGTATGATTTATCTTCTGGCATATCTGAATCTTACAATTTTAATAAGTATCCAGTTTAAAGAAAATATTGTACATACTAAAAGATGTACCTTGGTTTGTTTTTGTGTCTAGCTGCCCCTTTGTCTCTTGCCATAAATCAACCAGAGCTTCCAGATGGAGAGATGGAACCAGAAATTATTTTATTAGACAGGGGTGAATCAGATGATCCAGACAATAGCTACGTACGCATCATGGTAAGTATGGATACATTAGGTACTTACATGTATATAAAACAATAGGTAAACTATTTGATAAAATTTGTTTTATGTGTAAACTTAGTTTAGCTTCATGTTGTCAGTACATGCATTTGTAATTTTATCTTAAAAAAACTTACATGGGTTAAATAAGTCTGTTAGCATGACACTAATTACTAATTATTGATAAGAAAGCTCATGAAATTTAGGCCTTTACAAGTAATGCGGTACCAATCCAAAGTAAAACATAAAATCACTTAAGGATGTATGTTATCTTCGTGCCATATGAATCTCATTTCCAAAAGAGTTTATGAAGAAACAGACTATAGCAAACATCATTGGTATAATGCATGAGGTAGGATATCTCCTTAAGTCATTGAGAAAGTAGAAGATGTGTTTTTATTACAGCGTGACCCCATGTTACTACTACTATTTCTGATGGGGCGGGCCCCACACATGATGGTGCCAGATGATGTAGATGCCAACGATTACGAGGTAAAATTTTCAGGAGAAGTGCTATCAAAATTAAGATGAAAAAAAAAGGTATATCTTTATGTAGCAATTGATTCATTACAATTATAATATTTGTAACTACTGCTGTTCTGTTTTTTGTCAAAGACACATGATTAATATACATGGTGATGTAAAGCAGGATTCATGGTTTATAGATTATAACTGAATCTGTAATGGATTAAAATACATGCATTATCCTAAGTATTTTGGTTTTAGTCCCTTTGGCAGCTGGCTGAAGAGCTTGGGGAGGTGAAGAATCGTGGTCTTGGGGACAGGGAGCTGGGATCCTTGCCCTGTAAGCTGTACAACAAACGAACAAAGGTGTCAGGAGAAGGTGAAAATCAGGCAGAATGTCGAGTCTGTCTCAATGGCTTTAGTGCTGGGGATAGTGTCTGTACACTGCCCTGTAAGGGAAAACATGAATTCCATGAAAAGTGTGTCAAAGAATGGCTGAAGGTGAGATAATATTTATTAAAACTTTATAAGATGCATTTTTTTGTTTTTGTTTTGGTCCTTGTCTCTTTGATGTGAATCTCTCCTGGAGGTCATGCCCTATCCCATTTCAAATATATGCTATACATATTTATAGAATCTCTCAACAGAATTTAGTTGGTATTTTATCCCATCGTATGATACAACATCAGACTCTGCCTTATCATATAAAGGTAGTTGTTGGTCAATGGTTAAAGGTTAATAGTTACAGTTGATGACTTATGTATGCATTGGAGCATGAACATTCTTGTCTCACAGACATGTCCTGATTACATTTTATTAATAATTTGCTGTGTAAGATTTTGTGGTACATGATCGGATATGAGACTTTTATTTTCTTGATAGTTGACATACAGTGTCCAGTACTGTCATGAACAAGAAATATGTTCTTGGTAAAAACAAGCTTTTCTAATGAATACACAAAGTTGTGTAACAATATGAATATTACATTGCAAAGTAAGATTCATTGAAATATTTATCTGTCTGCAGCGGAATGCCTCCTGCCCCATATGTCGGTTTGAGCTGAAGAAGAGTTAGCATAAAGGTGATGGTAGAATGGAAGGTACAACATGCTGTAGCATTTGACACTGGACCAATGTACTCGACAATGGGTTTGCCAAAATTTTAGATACACATCTTCCAAAAATGCTTGTTGAAGTTTAAAAAAGCCCAGTCTTTTGTAAATGTAATCTTTAACTGAACTGGCTTGACATGTACAATTTTCTATCACTGTAACAGTGGTATCAGTGATGATAGATAGACAATGGTGTTATCACATCATCTTCACACGTACCATCAAAAATACAATCTTATTATCACAAAAGTTCATTCAGTTGTTTGTTCAGTATTTGGTACAATTAATCTCATTGATTTCCAATCAATTTGAACTGTAAGTAAGTTTCTGAAGCTATATATCATAAAGATAGGATTCTCTGTGAATTCTTTGGAGGTGTGTTTTCTATGTTGGTATGTATTTGAGGAAATTTTTATTCTTTCTGTTGAAACATTTAAGTTACTGTTTTGGCTTATAAACCTGGCCCCACTTGTATAAAACATTCAACTTGAGATTTCCTCAAGTCGAGATTTTCCTCAGGTGATATCTCCTCGAAAACGGCTTGTATAAAATTTTCTCAAGGAACAGGAGGAAGTCATCGGCTAGGATGTCCTGAAATTCCTTGAGGAATTTTCATACAAGATATTTTCAAGGAGATATTAGCTGAGGAAAATCTGGGCTTGAGGAAATCTCAAGTTGAGATGTTTTATACAAGTGGGGCCTGGTATAATATAAAGGATGGGTAGAGATGGTATCAGTATTGTAGCTAATGACAGACCCCTGTCTAAAGTGATGCAGATTTACAAACTCCAATGGATCTTTGTTTTACTATTGACACAATTTTTTAAATGTATGTTTCATTTATTTATAATATCACAGTAGTGTTGTATGTATCTTGTACAATAATTCTGACATAAGCTTATGACATATTATTTAATTTGCCAGTTGTAGTAGTAATGCCAGATTCTGAAACAAGATCAAGTCCCTTTGATGTACTGTTGTTTATAGTATACTGATAAATAGAGTTGGTCTTGATGATTGTTGGTGTGTCTGTCTGTAATGATGGTAACAAGCAAACAGGAAGGCACCAATAATGTCACGGTCCAATCAGCCCTATTACTGCTCACAAAAATATGCATATTCAGATTATGATGTAGCTAGCCAAATTTCTCTGCTATTGGCAAAGAACACCTCTCAATATTTATATGGGGTTTTAAATAGGATAAATGGAAAATCTTCATTTTCACTTTAGTCCTGTCCTAGGTACTGTAAGGACTACAGCTAGTAAACTGGAGGCCTAAACCAGTTGATTAAAATATATAATTTTACTGTATTATCTCTAAAGTGATGCAGAAGCACTTGATCCAATCACAAAGGAGACATACTCAGATTGATAAAAACTATATATGTATTTACAGGTTGTGAAGAGTGGTCAAGACAGGTATTTTTTAGTGAAGTTATAGATGTTGCCAGAAATTGTGAATGATATTTGATTGTGTTTACATAGATAGACTAATACACAACTTTAAGATAGGCTAATACAAAACTCTCGTTTCTATTTATTATTTTTCTTGATGAATTTTTGTACTTTTGTACTTCTTCCTTTGTGTACAGCTATATGTACGCATATACACATATGCCTCACATCCATTCGACAAAAACTTTCATTTTCAAATCCTAGTGAAGATCATCAAGTTGTCAGTATTAACTTTGTGTACATGTATATACAGAGTGTTAAAATTCTAAAGTTTATTTTCATGTTAGTGTGATTATCAAATTTATTTTCATTTCCAGTCCCAGAACGTTTTTGATGAACTAGAATGCTGTTACATTTTTTATTTTGCTATAATCTTCCAACATTATCCTAAGTCAGCCCTATAACCTTTCATTTATATGTTTAATTTAAATTACCAGGTACCTTGTTTTTGTCTCTGGTTCCAATGTTAAATACTACTAGACTTGTCCAGGTCCTGTCTGCATACAATAGATTTCTTGATCTGGTATGGTCTAGTGTAGGAATTTTGATTGGTCTTGGCCTTTGTCTGTGAACCACAACATATGTAGACCTGCTCTGGCCTTTTATATAAACTTGTCTTGGTCCTTTATCGGGCATTTCGTTACACTACTTGAATGTGACCATTCTGACTACCCGGTATACTTTTTAAATAATATAAGTTTTATTTACAATTACTCTATGAATAACAAATGTGAAATTGCATTAATTCAAAAGAAGAATTTATACCCTGCAGGTACAATATGTTTTTTTGGTATACTTTTTTTTTTTTTTTTAAAATTTTTATTTTGCCCTATAAAGTCCACAAATTCTATATTTTCGTTGTACAGTATTTTATTTGGTCTGTATGCAATATAAGATGTTTTGTATGCACCAGTAGTCATACAAGTTATTCTATTACTAAAAATTGTATATATATGTGTAACCCTCATAATTACTTGCTGAAATACACAGCAAGAGAGAACTGATTTGATTAAGAATAAGACTAGAAGGCCTGAGGTCTCGGGTTCGAATCCTTGTGGAGGTCTTGAAAAAAAATACATCTAAAGTAACATCTGTTACATATTTACATATATGTAAATAGTCTTACATGTTGTGTTCATATATATATCAAAAGATTAAAAAAAAAAAATGCTATCAGTGCATATGTATATAGATTATGCTGTACAAGTTGAGATATTAAGTTCTGTTTTCCTAGAGAGATTTCCAAGAAATGTAAATGCAGATTTGTACATAAACTAAAATCTCAATTTCTCAGACTTCCTTTTTTTCTCACAAATATCTTATTTTACAACAAACGAAAATCAATTTTACATATCTAATTTTTTTCTGAATACAAATTTTATTCATAAATTATTTCTCCGTCCATGATTTAATACGAAATACCAATGTACATAACTATAAAAGTTTTTAAGGCACACCACTACTGTGTATTTGTAGAGATGTCTTATCCTAACTGATAAAGCTTCGGTTTATTTGAAATTTGAATCTGACAGATATGACATTTATACTTTTCCATCTTCTAATTATCTAAAATAGCTACATAATTCTACCTCAGTAATAAAGATTTTCTCCTTAGTAACTATGAAATCAGAAAAAATGTAATTATACAGGGCAACATGGACAGTCATGTGACTGGTGAGACTCAAATTTAGAACAATCTTGAAATATATTATTGATGTTTCAATAGATCCTATGCCTAAACACTTAATTCGTTGTGTAGAAATACTCTATACCATATTTGTCCACCTCTAAACCCTGCGTGCCAACGCAAGGTTGTGGGATGGACTTACTACACTTACATTTCAGTAAAACAGTGTAAACTGTTAATACTACAGGGTTTCTTACTGGATAACTACAGTATACATATTTTCATTATTTCAGCAAGTTATAATTAGATGAATAATTCTTTCCCCCTTTTTAACGACTTAATTGTTACTTAAATTTCTTCGACCCTTCAATATCTTAGTGTTAATGATCATTCTTCCTTTGTTCTTAATAAAAGATATCTTAAAGGATTAAATAGAACTTGAATGTAGTGTTATGAAGTGTGTATGACCTTTAAATATTTAAGGATGTCATAATGATATTAGTTGTAGGCAGAAAGTACCCCATATGGAAGCAGGCACTACATTACCTTATAATGATTAAGTGAAGGTCTGTGGTTTGTGGTTTAATGCTCCACCAACCTGTGGCAGTTTGTTTCTCAGGAAGCCAGACTGATACATGTATATGCTGTCAGGGTTGTGACCGTGGATAACAATTTTACCCAAATGCTCTGGATGGCATACCATGCACCTCCTTTAACTTGTTCAGTGAGGTATCCACCAGCTATTATATGAGGTGTCTCTGTCTAAAATTGACCCTGACTGTCGATAGGGCAATATATATAAAACCCAGCAAACAAGTATCTGTGTAAATAAGATACTTTGAGCTGTTAGATTGTGAGTACATCATGTGAACAAATAGCTAGTAATTTATGTGTAGATTCATTTTGTGTTTGACAAGCTTGGCGATAAAGTTAATTAGGGCATCTTAAATAATCCAGTGATATATTTCATTTCTTACATGTAAAAGCTATAACAAAAGATATGTAGATATCTCAAACTTACATAATGTCAGACTGGCTCAGCTGTAGCACTGGTCCATTCTGTCAACTCTTGGTCAATAATATACTGCTTGGTTTAGAACTTCTCTTTAACTTGCTTGGTTGAATATAAGACTTGTAAACAGAGGGTCCTGGGTACAATTCCTAGCTGTATTAAAATAAATGATGATCTCTGTTTCATGAACAGTATTGTTGAGTGTGAAAATGTACGTTCACACATAGTATTAATGGATTAATGTACCAAGAAGATTTTTTGAAATCAATAATGAAATAAGAGATGATAATTTGTAGATTGCAATGTGGACACTAAATTTCCTGTGTTATTTGAATATGATGTTTTTATTCATGCACTGTAAAATCTTATCCTTTTTGTTGGGCTTAAATTTTGTGGTTTTCAAAACAAATACACTTTCACTGATACAATTTGGAATTTATTCTGTGAATATTGATTGACAAATGGATTTGTTGATTAAGAGTACCCACAAAAAAAAATAAGAAAAATCCCGTACAAAAATGAATGATTTTACAACATCACCCTGTGTCTGATGCATTCCATGATTAATTTAATGTTATAATTCTATTTTATCTATCACTTTTATCAAATTCTATATTTTTCTATAACTGTTTGTCAAATTTACTTCTGATGATTTTTAAGATGTCTGTGATTGAAATTTTGTTGTTGTTTTTTCTTTCTATAATTCACATGATACACTATTTTATGTGTATATTGTACTTATATCTAGCTGTGCACAATTGTTTTTGTGTATGGAACTGTTATATGAAGAATAAACATATTGCTGTGTTAAACTGGATTGATATTTGTTTTTGGACACAAGGAAATACAAGTTGGTTCTATGATGGCTACGAGTCTATTTGTATAAAGGCCTGCAGA